GAAGAGCGTCCGATGCTGGAGAGGTTAGGGAAGAAACTCCACCAGTGGTGGCTCCATTGGATCCGACCGTATTAGAGAGAGGAGAGCTTACAATTCGGATGTGCCTTGGGTAGCCATAAACCAAGCTAAGCGAGTATTCACCGCGCCGTTCTGCATTGGTTGAGATTCGGACAAGAAAGGTGCCATCCGGACACTTTGATAAGCGGCAAGTAGCTTCCGAACGATCCATTGCTCCCACATACCTTAGGTATATGTATAGAAAATAAAATGTTTTTTATATACCGTTGGCTAATGAAATAGTCCGTAAAATAAATCGTAAGTGTTCTGTAAAAGTCAAAAAAAAATTTAACTTCGTTTAGAAAGATATGCAATTGCTAAACTACATTGTAGTTTTAAAAAGATAAATTTCAATTATTATAAAGATTAAGGCCAAGAGTGCGGCGAAATTTTTCCATGATACTAATAAAATGAGTAAATAACAAAGCGTAAAATATAGGAAATGGAATTATGAGCTCATATTTCATTTAATATCGCCCTTGGGTCCACCATAATGAAGAGAACAGCATATGTAGAGTTGGCACATTCCCAGACATTTCGCCGGTATCCTCAGTGAATCTTCTCAGCCATTCTCAGCCCCAAATTACAATTCGTCAAAGAGACAAGTTAAGTTAACCAACTTTCTTCCGAAATGGTTGTGCTATCACTCGTCTTTCTGCCCAGGCCCTGTTGTCTCACTCCCGCTCTATAACAACTTCTGACTTGTTCCTATTCCATTCCGCAAAAGGTGTGCCCTTTTGGCGAGTTTACCGTGGCGCCATCCCACCTACTGTCTGCCTTGTCCCTCTGCCTCTCGAGTGGATGATCGGATTCGGGCCTCCTGTCCGGATCTGCCGTAGATCTGTTGCTTATCTGTTTCAGCCTCAGCCTGTGCACGTTTTACTCCAGGTGATATTTCTCAAGCCTTGAGTAGCCCGTACAATGTCGCCTCATCTGCACAGTGCCTAGGCCCTAATTACCATGTTCGCAGATATTATGCATTGCCTTCACAGGACAACTCTTAGATTCAGCCCCTGTACCGTGAACAAAGTATGGACTCCTATCAATGGTCTCCCGATGCATATCGAGGCGATTTCTAATCAATCTGGCCTTAACACCGAATTTATGTGGTTTTTGTGAAAATCCGTCTCCCTAGTCATGTGACTAAGGATTGAATAACTTAGTTGCTTGACCTTGTCTTCGCAACTTGGCTATATTGGCAAGAAGACCAAGAGAAACGCACCTAATCCGGAGCCCATAGTATGCATGATAATTTCCAGTCGGACCGTTCCCAGACGTTTCATCGGCATTTTCAGTTAGCCTTGCCCTTCTTAGCACCACACCACAATTCTTCAAAGAAACAAGTGCAATCAATTCTTTGACCAATTGTCTATCCTCTAGGTATTCCTGCCAATATGACTAAGTTAAGAAAACAAGGTCAAACAACTACTATACAGCAAAAGGAGACCACATCCATTCAAAAGGCTACCTCATCTTGGTCTTGATACCTCCGATTAAATAACTTAGTTCTCGTTTTATAATTAGATTTTTCGAAATACCAGTATATCTGATTCACCCTATTTCGTTTAAGGTGAAAAAGAACTGGTAGTTGAATTTTCTCACAATGATATGAATAGACATTGCTTCTCAAAAGGTATTCTCATCCAGAATTGGGTAGGGCGTAGGCAGATGTGCCAGGACAGAAAGAGGAGTGATAGCACAATCGTTGGTGGGGATAGTAACTTGACTTGTCTCTGAAGAGTTGTAGCTTGGTGCTAATAATGGCAAGACTAACTGACGATACCGACTACGATGCCGGTGAAATGTTTGAGAATGTATCAAGCTCATGTTCCAACGCAGAGAAATATCATAACTACTATATCAGAGGACTTTAGACAAGATGCGTCCAACTAGGCCGTCCTGGCAATGCGAGCATGATGCGAAAACGAGGTCAGACCACTTTTAGCATATGTAGAGTTCATTAATATAAATCGAACGTGAAACATAGCTGAAAGGGAGTGTGCTGGTGAATTTATGCTATAAATCACGATTAACCAAATTCTATTCTTGTAGATATTTTGTAGCAGCGTGCGAACTAAACACTCATAAATGAAGAAAGATGTAACATGACTTACCAAGCATAGTCGTTAACACAATGGCTGTAGCTTAGTGACTCCGATGTACGTAGATTGGAATCATTTCTGGAACCTGATAAAAGCTGCTGGGATGAGAGAGGAGATAGCGAACGTGACTGCATACAGAATGATGAAGCAGCGGAGATGCTCGTGGCTGATGGAGGCATGCGCACAGCATGCTGGACTACCGAGCCTGTAGTGTTCAAAGAGGTACTATACTTGAGTCCACTGCTTGGCCAGATCGAGGGATCATTGTGAGATAGCTGGCCAACTGGCGAAGTCGGTGCCACGGATATGGTAGTGGTACCAAGTGGGGCTGTAGTAGGCATCCAGCAGGCCTGGCCCAGCATAAGAGATGGAGGCGGTAGGGGTGGCGGTGGTGGCGGCGCTGGTGTTGGAAAGACCGATTGTCCAGACAGAGAGTGAAGGTTTCGAGAGGTAAGTGGAGAAGAAGCCGATGCTGTTGGTGATACTGGTTTTGGGGTAGGCGTGGTGATAATATGTTCTTGAGTCGGTGAAACCAGGCTCTCTGTCTCCTGGTCAGATCTGGAATAGTTGTTGAGAAACCGATCGAATAAAGGTAATGTAGACATGACATCTGCAGTTGGAGTGCTGGCACTAGTGGCTGCTTGATCCAAAGGCGGAGCCAAGTTGGTGTCGGTGCTGGTAACTACCTCGGCTTGATTTAGGTCGGCAGGGGGCGAGCTACTGTTACTATCAGCCAGACTAGTTTCTCCCGTCCAGAGGCGCTCTGTGGCTGAGTATGAAATGTGTCGAATGGATTTACTAAGCTGAAATAGAGAACCCATGCAAAGAAAATAAAGTTTATTTAAGACTCAAGCACTTCTAACTAATTAAAAAAATATGCATGTTAAAATAATATATTATAAAGCAAACAATATAAGTCGTTCTAATAAATTAAATCTGGACAGATGAACTGCGAAAGAATGGATAACATTCGTTATCAAATTCCCCCACATCATATATATATCAAGGCATTTGCAACCAGGATGTCGTTTTATATTCAAATAGCAGAAGTAGGCAATGAGATAAGATGTGGTTTAACCTCGTTCCTGTAATTTGGTGGTATTATCAAGGATAGTTACATGAAAACACCTTATCCGAAGTCATTTGCTATACTACTTATGATAATTTCCAGCATCAGAGTGGATTTGATATATTCCCAAACGCGTCGCTAGCATCGTCAGAGTCATAGCTACTATAGCAGAGGACTTTGAAGGAGGTTCGTTCATCTAGGTCTCCTTAATAATATGACCAAGTTGCGAAAACAAACTCAAACAAAGAAACTGCGACCAAAACAAAGGCCACAGCATCTTAGACTCCATATCTGCGAGTAAAATTGCATGAGGCATTTACAAATTAGCCACATACTAGATGATTACTTTCATAGAGAAGGAAGTAAAAGGCACTCATTCCTGATTTTAATTCATGTTATAAGCGTAAATAAAGACAAAATGCTATTCTAACTCAATTATATAAACTCATTCAGAACATAAGCAACTTTCAAGATAGCTCCATATTTTATTCATAGGAAGTAGGTTTTCGAGACTATCTTAAGTCAAAATTTTAACTTAGCCCAGCGTCTATAAGTAAGCTCGCACGAACCATGTGATGGCATACGCCTACGTAGATGCATAAGTGCAAATTTCAAGAGTTTATTTACCTTTATTACAATATGATGTAATTCTGTGAGATAAATAGAATAAAATTTTGATTAAATCATAGTAATTATATATTATTTGTAGTCTAATTGATTATAATCATACAATTCAATAGGCTAGGGGATTGCAGTATTAAAAACAAAGCAAACAAAAATACTGTATAGATAATAATCTAAGCTTTTAGCGTTATCCATATTCATTTTGATGCCTAAATGGCGCTGTCGTTGTTGGTAAGATTCAAGTTTTTTTATAAACTCTTCTCAAAAATGATTAAGTAGCTGCCTAAATTAGAGTAAGGTTAGAGTTTCAACAAGTACCAAGTAGAATTTTTACAAGAAAAAAATTAGATTAGCATGCCCACCTGAGTTCTTTATTCAGAATTCACTTCGATTTCAAAGTTAAACAATATAAGAAATGTAATTGAATGTGTAAAGGCAAAGATGGTGTGACCTTTAATTTAGCCGTAGTCTCCTTTAATACTATATAAGTGGCTTGACTTCATTTGCGCAACTTGGTTGTATGGATAAGGAGGCATAGCTGAACACCCCTCTGTCATAGTAGCCGGCATTGTCAGCAAGCCTTACCAGTCTTAGCACCACACTGCAACTCGTCATTTGTGTATAAAAAAAAGCCCTAGAGACGTTACTGCTACCTCTATTTTCGTGTGAAATAATAAGTCACCTAATGAGTCTCGTTGGAAGAAGTACGATAATACTATCTAAAATAAATTTAAGCAATTTTAGTGAGTACCAAGTCAATACTACTTCGTAGGGCCCCAGCAGAGGTGTGCAGTGTTGTATTTACACAAATTTCTTATAAGGCATAAAATTAACATCATTATTACATTACACAGGCTTGGCCTAGCAAAAGAAAATCACCACGAAAGTATCGCCTTGAGCAAAATCGTTCCATACCTAATTTTTAATAAATAAGTTCATTTTCTAAATAATGGAACATAAAATTTTTCATACCCGATATTCTGTGTTGGTACATGCTTCGACGTGATCCATTGGGAACCAGCCCTCAGATTCGCCACTCCTGCCCTGAAAAATTAATAAAGATATACATAAAGCATTTAAATGCAGAGTATAGCTTTTCCACCAAAGGTCGGCTAAATATGTATATTACAAATAAAGTAGTCCATATTAAGACAAGAATTATCGAGTTTGTTAACAAATGAGCTTGCCAACTATCGTAGCAGTTGCCTTTATATTGTAATATATAAGGTAATGTGAATCAAGGAGATAAATAAGATTTGGTTGAAGCCTAATTGACATTGAATGAAGAAATATAGTTTTTTCTAGAAAGTCTACACAGATTGAAGATGCAAGGCGATTAAGCTAGAAGTACAGCAAGAAATGATTGGTAGTAACATTTCTAGGATAAACTACAAAATTTCATTTAGTGGGAAGAGTTGGCGAGCAGATTTCCTGATCATTAAACGCATTTTATTGCAGGTTTGATAAAAATTCAAGGAAAGAGAATTGGTGGCAGCTGTAAAACATCACATCGAAAATATGATAAATGTAAATGGAAGATTAGCAGGAGGGCTAGACAAGTAGTCCAAACAAAGCGTTGTGGTTGGATACTAAATAATAAAGAGAAGACATGTTACTTACGAGACACCAAGACGTCTCAGAGTCTACTCGCAGCAACTCTACGAATTCGCCAAGTTTAAGACACAATGGCCGCGTGCAAAATGTATCCCTAGAGACGTCAGACATACTAGCAACACTTCCGTCACCAAAAGATGTAGGAATTGCGCGTTCAGAGTCTGAGGAAGCCAACTCCTCTCTATCCTTTTCCGTGTTGTTCTGCTGTTGATCATCCGTCTCTGCAGCCTGATCAGTCGCCTCACTGAGGGTGGACTGTGATGGTTGTAAGGTTTTGGGCGGTGGTGGATCACCCAAATAAGCACATCGTACTATGGCAAGCCGCGCTCGAAAAGGCGTGCTGGAGGCCGAAGAAGAAGTGGAAGAGGCCATAGAGCCAGCGGACCTGCGAGCTGCCGCCGGGTTCGAATCCGTTGTCCAGCAGCTGGTTGCTAGGGCTGAGGTCGGTAGAGCGACGCTACTGCTACTGATACCCGCAGTAGAGGCATCTACCTCGAAGATCTCAGAATGAGAAAGGCGGCGGGCCAGAGAAGCCGAAGATGGAGAAGATGAGGAAGAAATAGTGGAGGAGGAAGGGGTAACTCCGGGTATGGGCCTAGTGTCAGTGGCTGGTGAGGAAAATGAGGCATGCGTGGCAAGTCCTATTGTCCCGGAAGATTTAGATGCCTGGCATGGAAAGCCAATTCCCGTGGAGTGGCGATGCCCTCCAGGCATGCTACCAACAGAATTCCCAACAGATACCGAACCGTCACCAACAGTATTTGTTAAGATTGACGAGACTGGTGTGATTATGGTGGATAATGCTGAGATTGTGGATGAGGTCGTGCTGGCAGTACGTGTCAGACCAAACATTCCGGCAGGCCTGCCAGGCACAGAACCAGCCAGGGTGCCAGGGTAGTTGGTGGGCAATGAAACAACACCGGAAGAAACAGAGGACGACTTGGAATGAAGTGGCGATACTGTTGGTCCGGAGGTTGGTACTGAAGCTTGGGGCTGATTCTGAAATAAAGGCATGTTGGAGTACCTAGACTGTTGCAGTCCAGAAGACCCAGGAGGTAAATATTGTGTAGACTGTTGCTGGGTCTGCAGATGAAGCAAGTGCAGTTGGGGCTGTTGGAAGGAGTGACTAGGGTTTATAATGGGCTGGTGTAGCTGAGGCCCGATAGTGAATTGGTTTGCATTTCCATGAGTAGGTGGATGGGAGGTATGCATCGGGTGGGATAGAGACCAGTTTAGTCCAGCTCCAGAAGGGTTGGTAGCTCGCACATCGCAAGTTTTGTTTGCCGGGGTGGGAGGACCAGTGTAAGCGGTGCGGGCCGGAAGAACACCAGATGCTAGGCAGGACTTGTGGGCGCAGATTCTAGTTTCTGGATGTCAAATTAAGAATTAGAAAAGGATATGAAAGAAAAGAAGAAAATAATAGATGCATATTGGTAAGAAAAACTAAGCGAAATTAGTACTCACCTCGGCACCGATATCCTTGGAAGAAGATTCCTTGAAGGAGTTTATTGCAAATATTGCAGTAGGTTGGTCGAGGAAATGTATACATTTCAAAATTGTAGCCATTTTCCTTGGCACCGGGCGGACAAAGATTATCTCTGATTCGTATGAAGAAAATAAGGCAAAATATGAATAACAACTTAAATCATATATTTAATAATGTAGTAAGATCGTTTTTGCTGTGTCGATATCTAAATAAAGTTCCAAAGCATGTTCAATCGATTATTTGATGATAAAATGCTAAAAGTTGTATACTCATTTGATTCTTGCAAAACATATATATATCGCTTAATGATGAAACTTTTGTAAAAAGACTTGGTGCAGCCGAATATCAATGGAACTTATTTCTGCTTAGTGAGTAGCAATCGCGTTTAAATGTAAAATCAATTCATAACATCAAAACCAGATTAGGCTAAATGACGATGAATAACTCATAAAGTGGCTTTTGGCATCTTGAAATAACTGGAAAGTATAAACAAAGAACTAGCAAAAGTAGGAAGCTGAGATCTACGACAAGACTCATTGATGGAGGACGTCATGACCAATTTCAACATTTTAACACTTTACTGGCGAGTTTCGCTACGCGACACTGCGTCTACCTTCCAAAAGTATCTCCTTTTACTTACAAACTAGATATGAATACCTATCATTCGACTCATACACCGCCAGTGTCGATTAACCATATTATCGCCAGCCATATCAGTGAAGGACTTTGAACCTTCACATAGTCGGGTTAGAGGTGCTGCTCAAAGAAAAAGTCGATCTTTATATACGGAAAATTATCATTCAGGAAGAACTTAGTTGAAAAAAAACGTGCTCGACAAAAACTCAATTGATTCGAGAATGTATAATCGTATGTCTCCCCACGAGCGCTACAGCAGCCGAGTTCAATCGTGACTCGACCTAGCCAGCTCCCCGACCAGCCTTTACCAAGGATGAAGGTGACTTGTCCCGTTGACAAGTTGTAACTCTGCGCTTAGGGTGTCGCCTCTCACTGACGATGTCGGCGAAACGTTTGGGGATGTACAGAGCCAACGATCCGATGCTAAAAATTGTCATGAATAATTGAATGAGGACGCAGAAATATGTATATTCAATAAGGTCTCTTCGTCGCTCAGGACAAATTTCGAAAACGAGGTCAGGCCAACGCTATAGACCACTGACGATGCCACTAAACATCTGGGGATGTACCAAATCCACGGTCAGACTCTGGAAATTCTCATGCATACTATGGACTCCGGACAAGGTGCGTTCCTCTAAATCTTTCTGCCAATATGACCAAGTTGCGAAAACAAGGTCAAACAACTGCTATACAACAAAAAAAGGGCACGACCATACAAAATGCCACACCATTTTGTCTTCATAACTTCGCTCAAATTTATATTTGCTATTATAATCGACTACATTACTCACATTCAGATTGAATAGGTTTCGGTTATGATGATAAAATGAATTCAACATATTTTTCAGTAAGCGTAATCAAAACAAGTATAACTACGACAATTGTGGGTTGGCACACAAGAGACTAGGAAATAGGAAGTGATAGACATGGTATTACAGATAGAAACAGGATTGACGTGATGCAGACTAGAGCTTTTGGGCTAACAATAGACGTGTTTGATAATAGATGTGCTCCTTGAATCACGAATTTTGTTAGCCAACTAGCTCTAGCTTCCATTGATTCTATCGTCTTTCAATTTATAATAACAAGTCTATGACTTGCTATTTCCTAGTCTCTTGTGTGCCAACTCACAAACGTTGTAGTTCAACGTTAACCTGATCAAAGCAAGCAGTACCACAACATTTGTGAGTTAGCACACAAGAGCCTAAGGCATAGCAAATCATAGACTTGGTATTACGGATAGAAACAGGATAGACGCGGCGGAGACTGGATATAGTTGGCTGACAGTATGTTTGTTGTACCATGTAGGAAAAACATGACCATGAGACTTACTCAGAAGCTTGAGCCTCGAATTAGTCACCCAGACGCAGGGGAGAGCGAATAATGTCTCGAGTAGCACAGATGGGGTGGCAGGGGTCGAGTGAAATACGTGAACCAGGGATATAACAGACTGATCTTACAGGAAAGAGAGAGACTGTGATAATACCTAGGGAAGGAGGACTGCGTAACAATATGGCAGACTCTGATCAACATTCTCAGCACAAGGGTGAAGGGGGTTATAAAGAAGGCGTGGAGTGTGAAGGGTTTCCATGAATACCGCTTAAAGGAGCACACCACTACATCGAAATAAGCACGGTACAAATTGTAACAGTGAGGGCGTGATAGGAGGATATAAGAAATGTGAATGGTCCAGGGCAGAAGGGGATATACCACAACTGTTTAGCACACGTTTGTTCAAAGGATCAGCTTCACTTGTCACTTTGACGAGCTGATGTGGGGTACTAAGAATGGCGAGACTCACTGATGATACCGATTACGATGCCGGCGATACGTCTGGGAATGTACCACGTCCACGGTTCAACTTTGGAAATGATCATGCAGACAATGGACTCCGAACTAGGTGCGTTCCTCTAAGTCTTTCTACCAATATGACCATGTGGCGAAAATAAGGTCAAACAACCTCTAATACAACATATAGTTGAAATTATCAGGTATCGAGATTATAGATGAATCTGTAACTAAATCATTCAGGAGAAGTTTTGAACGCGGTTCTATGTTGTTGCCAAGACTAAAAATAAAATTAAGGTAAATTCACGAATAGATGGAAAATACATACACACGCGCACGCACACGCACATGCAAACTAGTAAATACAGATAAACTAGCCTACGTGCATACTTTTGGCTATAAGCGAGGAAGAAAACGAAGGATTGTGAAATATAAATACGATAGAATAAGTTTACTAAACTAGCCAACTGATGTCCAAATTCGTTAATGATTAAAA